ACAAAGCAGGACATACTTTGAGGATGTTGTACTCTTTGATTTGCCAACTGTGTAGAGGGCGCATGTGCAAAGTTATCAGAATGAAATGTGAGTAGAAGCAATAGCCTAGCCTTGCACATAAAGAATGATCGAGGAACACCTAAGGGATATTGCTCACAATTTCCTTACAGGAAAGCTAAGACATATACACAGCCTGGGGCGCCTGGCTGGCTCAGTCAGTACAGCATGCAACTGTTGATCTCAGAGTCCATGAGTTCAAGTCCCACATTGGGCATAGAGCTTGCTTTAAAAAAAAAAAAAAAGCCATTTAGATAAATTTTCCCTTAAAAGGGGGTGTGTGTGTGTGTGCGCCTGGGTGGCTCAGTTGGCTAAGCATCTGACTTCGACTCAGGTCATGATCTCGGGGTCCTGGGATTGAGCCCCGCGTCGGGCTCCTTGCTCAGTGGAGAGTCTGCTTATCTCTCTGCTTCCCCTCCCACCGGCTCGTGCTCTCGCTCTCTCTCTCTCACTCTCAAATAAAATCTTAAAATAAAAAAATACACACAATCTTCTCTCCATGTTGTTTTGTTAGAAATCATTAGCAGAAAAATGACATCAGCTGAAAACACATACATTTAGATATGAGACTTAGATTTTGAGCTGTCAAGCTTGACTTGGGGAAAATAAACACGGAGGAGGTAATAGCCACAAAAGAAAGCCCACAAGGGCAAAAGCTACAGCTTGCAAGGGCAAGAACTAGAATTAGATTGAGTTAAATGTCCATCGTGACATTTCATGGAAAACAATGATCTTAATAAAAATATTTTAAAGTAAAAATGAAAATAAAAATAGAAAACAGACAATTTAATTGCACTGTATAGAAAATTCATCAAGGAATTAAATTGGCTTAATGGAGTTATAGTTTACTCTAAGGGAAAGCTTTACTGATGGAAATCTATGTGGTGTGATTCTTATTAAAAATTTAGCTCTGGGCCGTCACCTGGGCTTTATGACTGAGCAGATTCAGCAACAGTCAAACGATCTATTGCAAATGCTGACACTGTATGGAGCCTCCAGTGGTCCCTAACTGGAGAATTATCCTGAAGGACTCCAGGGTTTTGGAAAATATCCATGCCTTCTTTTGCAGATAACTCTTCTCCTTTTGAGAATCAGGTACCTAACCATGCAACATCAAGTGACCATGTGGCCTGGACTGCTGGTCACAAACTAGGGGTTGTCTAACCCACCACGCCCATTTGAGTAGTTAACCTAGCCCAGAAATAGATGTCACGGTCTCTCAGACCTGGGAACAGTGAGTGTTGGCACTGTTTCATTGTTGGGGAGAGGGCAAGGTCACCTTGTGTAGAGTACCTGTATCGTGTTATTTAGAGACATAAAATTGTTTTTACTGTTTTAGGTTCAAATACACATCGAAGCACGTGTATGGATGCTAAGCGGCCAGAGGTGGCAGAACTGATTGTTCTTACCTCCCAGCGCCAACCCCACCTCCAGACTCTGCCCTGTGCCACTGGGGCTGGAAAGCTGCCAAGCACAATTCCCCTTTACCAGCCCGTTCCAGGACAGGTTCACCCACGGGGAACGTGAGAGGGAGACTGCAAGGCTAGAGGCAAAAAAGAAGGGACATGCTCTTTCCTGTTGCCAGAGAAACCACAGCAAACATGACTTCGCTCTGGCGGCCACAGCTGGTCCCAGGAGTAGTGTGGTCCTAGAACCAGCCTCCCTGAGCCCCTGAGATGGCAGCACCTCCTCCGCGGGGCCCCTCCTGCAAGCCTCCACCTTTTTAAACAGACCCAACCTCTTCCCTTTGCTCCCCTGCCCTGGGAGCAATAACAGTGTCCGGCAGTCACTACATCTGACACCTCAGTGTCCCTCGGGGCCCTTTCCTCCTTACCACCTGTTAACTGCTGTGGTCTCTTTCCCACTAGACCCTGGCTGATACAAACACATACCTTGTTTCTACATTTGTGTGTACACGATGTCTCCCCAACTGTAAGCACCCTATGGGAGGGGACGATCTAATGCCTTCTGAGGGTCCCACACCCTGCCTGGTGCCTTCAGTGACCGATACTTAGCCTGCTGGTTACTTGTCTCACCTCACATTTATTCCTCATTCTCTACCATGCAGAGAAAATGAGCACCTAGCCACTTAATCTTCCAGGAAGACTTCTTTTCCCTTAAAAATGGTCTCATACTCTTCCCCTTCCCAACTCTTTGGTGGGTAGCCCATCTGTCCCCTGCCGACACCCCCTCAGGCAGCTTCAGCAGCAGAAGAAATGAGGACTTTATAAGAGGCCCTGGTAGGAAAGATACAGTGAAATTCATCTCCTGAGAACAGTTTGAGAATCATCAGTAGTGATGGGAAACCAAGGTGAGTCAGAGGTTTGTTTCATGTCTTTATTGACAAAAGAAGGTCACAGCATTTCAGACTTTATTCAAATACACAAACAGTAACAAATGGCACCCACAAGTGACAGGCATGGTCCCTAACCTCTGGGTCAAAGGCCATGCTGGAGGGCGTGGGTGTCCTCTTGGCCCCCCCGCAGCATCTCTGTCCCTTCCTCCCCTACACCTCGCCGACACCCCTGAGATCAGTTAAGACTGCAGAAACGAAGTCGCTCTAGAGGAGGTTGGGCCATGCTTCACTGCCAAGGAGAAAGCAGGTTCTGAGGGAAAGACAGAAGCGCCCTATTGTGGCGTTTCCTAGAGAGGCCAGGCTGCTTCGTGAACTGGGCCTGCGTGGCCCATGGCCTCGGGCCTGGGCACAGAATGAAGAAGGAAGACCCTCCCCACCTGGCAGCACTGGGCAGCTGGAGAGAATGTGGGTCACTGGCCATGTGACACCCCCAAACCGATGGCGAGACCTCTTTCCGAAGTCATCAGCCGGACTCTCCCAGGGGGAGAAGGCTTTCAGGAAAAAATACTGACTCGGTTCATAAAGGGCTGGGGTGAGTACTTTTCCAGAAACCTTAGAAAATGAATCATCCTCAGATTCAGGAGCACTGAACAACTGGCATTGGGTTGCCATGAGGAAGGAATCCTCACGAAAGCCAGCCCTCTAGGAGAGCAGAAATGTCACCTCTGTTTGTTCCTCTGCTGAGTAAGGGGCTCAGCAGCCTTTCTACAGAATCCACTGTGGGACTCTGAAAAGAGAAATGAGTAACCATGTGTTTCTGAGGGGCTCGCTCTCCTCTGCCCTCTGGTCCACCTTGCTTCACTCCTTTGTGCAGGCTGGGGAGCACGGCCATCACCAGGCATGCCCTGGGGAAGCAAATCTGATTGGGCTCCAGGCCCCAAATGAGGCTGCTTTCCCTCCTTTGAGTCAAATGTTACTTTTTTGAATTGGCCAAAGAGCACCTCTTCCAAAGTCCTCTGTCTTACTCTGGTCAGAGCAGCTTTTCCTTGACACTCTCAAATCTTTTTATTTTTTCTAAAAGATGATAGGATGATACCTGTGGCTTTTTTGAAAGGTGACTGCTTTTCCGTAGGGAGAAGTTCCTATAACATTTTACAGCTGTAGAAATCGTGGGCACAGGCCAGAGTTCTGAGGTGCTGACGTCCACATGCACGCTCACATATCAGCAGACACCCCTGCACACACATTTCTATCCTGCTCTACACACAGGTAAGGTCAAAGCGAGAATCCTGAAGAAGAGTTACGCCATCTGCACATGGGCAGGTCACATGCGCAAAAGACATTTAGCACAGCCTGTAAGTCATTTCCAAAAATTACAGCCCCAGGCCCACCTAGGAAGCAGCTGAGCTGTGGAGCAGACAGACACTCCGCTGCGGAGGAAGCCGGGAGTGACTGGCAGGAGGTGGCTGTTACAGACGGAGGGTCCCATGGCACCTTCCCCTTCTCTGGGCCATCTGCCACACTAGGAAAGTGTGGAAATAGGGAAAAATAGGGAAATAGGGAAAAATAAGGATTCTCTGGCCCTTTGCATTCGATGACTGCTCACCAAGACTCAAAAGCTCAGAGAGAAGATCCAGCTACAAACTCTGTGATCCCAGCCCAAAAGAGGGCTTTACTCCCGTCCTTGGTCAAACAAGCATTTGATTCTCCATGACATGGCACTCTGAAGAAAGAAGTGATGCTAAGGGTTGGCATCCTCGGACTGCCCAGCAAACACATACACTCTACCGGGGATGGTATGAGGTCACTGACACACCTGTCAGGCAAGTCTGTCACGGTTAGAAACCGAGAATGGACACAAAAAAATACTGAACGTTCAGTCAAGGCATTTCCAAGAGATAGTCACAGAAATAACACTTTTGGATACTACAACATAACACATTTGGCAACTTTCAAAGAAATGCTGTCCCCACCCCAAGCCATCAGAGGATCCCAAGTCCCTTTTATCTTCGGTCCAGTTTAAAAAGTCAGAGAAGGAAGATGGACCAACAGAGGGTGAGTGAAGGCTACAGACCAACTACCTGAAGCTCCCATCTGTCTGTGTGACAGAGTGCAGGATGCCACCTGCCCCAGACCTCCTCTTGGGGAGAAAGTAAGCTACTGGAGGTAAATGAGGCAAGGATGAACATGGTAGCAGCTGAGTGCCCCAAACCCAGAGCGGCGATCCCCAACCCCCACCCACAACCAAGGACACCCCATCGTCCCCTTCCTCAAAGAGGTTTTGTTCACAGGAATGTGGAGGTACTCTGGCAACTCTATCCTTTATGCAAAACCTCAATTCAATTTGACAAACTGAAGCCACGATCCTTGGCATCTGCTGCATTAGTTTGGGGTGCAGAGGAGGGGGAAGATAGTGTTACAAAGCAGCTGCAAACGTCCAACGTGGCACTCAGGTGAAAATATGGCACAGCTCAGGGACGATCCTCTTTCACTTGCTCCAGCTCCCCTGAAGTACGGGCGTGTACAAGGAGCTAAGCCTTCCTCTTCCCTTCCCACAGATGTCCAGAAGGGCTCCAACTGGGAACCCAGCCCAGCTGCGGTTATAAAGACTTGTCACAAAACTGGCTAAGAAAACAAAAGCAGGTTTCTGAAAAGGTATTCTGCAGCCGGGAGCCGTATCTGTCTTCAGGTTCCTGTGGGTGGGGGCAGGGGTTCCTTTGGTTTTGACCAGAACACTTCTCCACTGGGGGGCCAGGCTCAGCTTTGCTTTGCAGTAGCTCGGTTACTGTACAGGAGCAAGATTTAACTTCATGAGGTGCTCTGCTGGGTTGCTCTCCTGTTGGTTAAGGATCTGGAATTTACATCCGAGATCCTCTCTCCTGAAGAATCTGCAAGTGAAACATCGGGGAGAGGGCTGAGGCTTGGACTTTGCAGCGGACCAGCTTTTAGGCTGAGGCTGCTAAGCAGACTGCTGAGGGAAAAGGGACCCATGGCTGCTTTCCACTGGACCCTTGTGAGCAGCACAACAATCCTTGTTAAACCAGGAGGCAAGGCAGGGCTGCAGCCCTGACCTCCCCTGAAGAACTTCAGTGGTAAAAGACTCTTGCTGAACACCGTGGGGCCCCAAGATTACGTGTTGACGCCAAAGGAAATAGTTCAGACACACCATGTGCTGCTGACTTAGGAGTGCACGTGTGCGCATATGAGCCTGTGAGAGAACAGTGTACAGTTTTCCAGTAACTTAAGGTGAGGAGGTCACAAAGGTAACCAAATACCTTTTCTCTTGAGGCAGGGTAAAACAAAAAAAAAAGAGAACAGTTTCAAGGAATAAACACAAAATATTTTCCAATTTTGAGTTTCAGAATTCTCACGTTGTAGTAATTAGAGGGAATAAGATTTTTTCATTGATTTGACAGAGGGTCTACCCTATTTCAGTACCCGTTTCCTAACTAAGAACCCTCAGTCTCTGCTCCATAAATCCTGATTTAAATTATAACAGTCAAAGACCAAAATGAAGGCAAAATGCAAAGCTTGCTTCAGAAGGAAAGGGAAGAAACCTCAAGCAACGAACGGTTCAGACAAAGCCCCCTGAGGGGCCGGAAACAAACGAGTCAGAGACAAAATTCTGGTGATGCAATTTCTTACCTTTGCCTTTTCACTGGGCTCTATGACAATGCCATTGGTAGAATTATTTAGTTCTCTGGAGACAACACAGAGGAATTCTGCCTGATCCTCATTTCCATAGTTATAGGAAGATCCAATGCTGATTAGCTGACAGAACAAGAATATGGTGAACAGTCACCTTAAGGTACCAAAGTGCCACACAAATCCAACCCTCCTCCTGACCGAACTGTGTAGTTTTGCTTCTCATGGATGATGATTGTCTGGGATTATCAAGGCCCCAGGGAACATCTGGATCTCAGTTACTCACCAGGGCATCCTCAACAAACTTTCCCCAGAGAAGGAAAGTATGGGCTCTGCCAGGGTCTTCCCACCCAACCACTTGAAACAATCTCAAAGGCAGCAACTAGGATTAACATGATCATACTTCTTCTAGCAAACACTGAGGTGAATGAGAATGTTTCTGTGAATGAGAATGGACACTTGTTTCAGCCAAACACCTACACAGAGCTGGCTCATCTTTAGACAGAAGTCCTAGACCGGAGACTGGTACTCAGAAGGCTTTGGAAAGCACTGAATCACTGAAGAGTTACCATAAGCCATATGCTGCTGGAACTTTTAACCTTTTTAGAGAATTGAATTCAGGATTCAATTCTCAATAGGAAATACACATGCACAGGGAAAAACGGAGCCAAAGGGTAAGTCATCCGGGCAAGCATGTAGGGCCTCAAGTCAGAAGAACATGACTGGGGGCGCCTGGGTGGCTCAGTCTTTAAGCGTCTGCCTTCGGCTCAGGTCATGATCCCAGTGTCAGGGGACTGACCCCAGCATTGGGCTCCCCGCTCCGTGGGAAGCCTATTCTCCCTCCCCCACTCGCCCTGCTTTGTGTTCCCTCTCTCGCTGTGTCTCTATCTGTATCTGTCAAAAAAAATAAATAAAATCTTTCAAAAAAAAAGAAGAACATGACTGACTTGCTCTATGAATGGGCTTTGGGCCCCTCTGCCTCCCTCTACCTTAACTTCCTCATCCGTATAACAGAGTTAGTACAAACATGCCTCACCTGCCCACAGAACATTAACAAGATGAGAAAAAGATTCAAAATTATTCACTGGTTTCATAAAGAATACTTAAAAGGGGCCCCGGGTGGCTCAGTCGGTTAAGTGTCTGCCTTTGGCTCAGGTCATGATCCCAAAGTCCCTGGATCGAGTCCTGCATCAGGCTCCCTGCTCAGTGGGGAGTCCACTTCTCTCTCTGCCCCTCACCCCACTTTCATGCTCAATCTCTCCCAAATTAAAAAAAAAAAAAAATCTTAAAAAAAAATACTTAAAAAAATGTTTTTATAGTATTCTTTGCTTAAGACTTATACCAGGGAGGGGTGTCTGGCTGGCTCAGTAGGAGAAGCATGTGACTCTTGATTTCAGGGTCATGAGTTTGAGCCCCATGTTGGGTGTAGAGATTACTTAAAATCTTTGAAAAAGGAAAAAAGACATATCAGGGGAAATACTTGTGGAGTGGAAGTATGGCAACATTTTGCAGCCCCCACCTGATTAAGAACTAGGCCGACATACAAAGGCAGAATGGATTCAGCAGTGCAGGAAAATGTGAGGAATGATCCCGTGTTGGCTCTGAAGGCGGAGACACCTGTATATTCGATCTATAACACAATGCTCTTAACAGGAAGCACAGCAGCTATTTGAGAAGGCGAGTTTATGGTGACCATTCAACTGACTCTTCAACTCTGCACAAAAATTGGCATGATCCACACAAAACTCTAACAATTCATTCTGTGCGTGCCCAGCCTCCCTGTGGTGAACACAATAGATGAGCTGAACAATTCTGCCATCTAATGGAAGAAAACAGTACAATTCTGACTGTGTGGCTTTGTTTGGATACTTCCGCCACGGCACGAAGCTGAAGGAACAGAAATGCACAGACTGATGGGAAACGGCCAGGCTACACTTCTCACCACCTCTGACTCCTTTCACATTACACCTGTTCATGCTTTTCTGGATAGATTACATATATATTTGGAATGATAGCATTCTCACCCTGGGGGAGGGAAAGGAAGGGCTGTTGTTGAATCCTAGCCCCCTTTTGGTACTTATTCTAGAATGTGTCAACTGAGCACTTTTGAAAGGAATCCCTCTGAGGGAGGGAAAAACCCCAGAGAGGCACTTTCAAGCCTAAGCAAGCTGGCTGGCTCCCTCTGGGCACAATCAAATTGAAACTTGGATGTGAAGTCGGAAGACATGATACTATTCGGAATTCTCCCCAACTCATCCTGTATGACTGAGCAAATAATCCACACCAAGTGGCTCTTTCCCACGTTTCTGAACAGGTTCCCACCTGGCCCTACGAACCCCCTGGGTTATGAGCTGCCTATGGGTGGCGATGGTTTGAGGCGCGTGGCCTCCTGGGAAACATACCTGTTCGAATTTCCAACCATCAGACATAGTGGAGACCATCTGTGTAAGCTCCTCCTCCTGGCACTGTAGGACTCTGTACACGTGCTTCACAGGGCCCTGTGACAACCAATAGACTTTGAAGAACACTCTCAAGGACACAACAGTTTGCAGCTGCCCTGGTGCAGCTCTTCCCAAAAACGAACACCGAAAAGGAGTTTGCTTGGACATTTTTTCTGGACAGCCACACACTAGCCCCTCTGACAAGGAGCAATGTCATTTTTCAATAAAAACTTATCCAAGGAAATAAAGAAAAAAAAGGCCCAAGGCTATGAATTAGTGGGTAAAATAATTCCGAAGTTCAGAGAAATGAATTATGTGCTTAGATTTCATCTATTTCCCAAAGTAGAAAATAGAATAAAATCACTTTGGACAAGAAATTCACATCATCTTCTTAAGTGGTTCATATCTAACATACATGCTGAAAATGTGGACCATATTTTGGTTTATTCAGAGTGAAACCTTATTATGGGAATAATATATTAAATAGGAATCCCACAATATACCAATGTCAAAACCACTCTGCTGATGGTACCTGACAGTGAAAGTGTTTCAGTGTTAAATGGTAGCATTCCCATTACAAAAGTGTATACTAAAAAATAAGTATTTGGTCTTTGTTCCTGGTTCCTAGCACAGAGCTCCTAAAATCCTTGCAATTTCTTGAGGGATAAAAATGTCTTTTTTGTGCTAATGACTGGTCCCCAGAAAGACCAAGCACCATTAGAAGGTTAGAACATCCAGTCCTATTTGCTGACCTTGGACCTCAGTGGGAGGGAGACGGACTGAAGACTGAATTCGATCACCAACGGCCAATGATTTAATTAGTTGTGCCTACATAATGAAACATCCTTAAAAACTCCCCAACTCTGGGGTTCAGGGGGCTTCCAAGTTGGCAAACATAACCAGGGGCCAGGCAAGCAGTACATCCCAGGAAGGCTCCTGCGCTCAGACCCCACCCCATGTCTCTCTCCGTCTGGCTGTTCCTTGTCTCCTAGAGATAAACTTTAATAGTAAGTAGAGCATTTTCCTGGGTTCTAGGAGTTGTTCTAGTAAATTACTGAACCCAAAGGGAGATGTCATGGGAACCCTTCAATTTCTAACCACGATGGACAGAAGTGCAGGTAGCCTGGGAACCTGGGATGTGGTACTGGCGTCTGAAGTGTGGGACTGAGCCCTGAAACCTGTAGAAATAGTTACTATGTATTAGTTAGTGTCAGGATAGGATAAGCTGTTGGACACCCAGGTGGTGTCGGAGATTCAGACAGAAGTAATTTTTTTTTTTTAAAGATTTTATTTATTTACCTGAGAGAGAGAATGAGAGAGAAAGCACATGAGAGGGGGGAGGGTCAGAGGGAGAAACAGACTCCCTGCCGAGCAGGGAGCCCAATGCGGGACTCGATCCCGGGACTCCAGGATCATGACCTGAGCCGAAGGCAGTCGCCCAACCAACTGAGCCACCCAGGCGCC